ACCTTAAGCAGAAAGCAAACCAGCTTACTTGGTAAACAACTTTAGCAAATTTTTAGAAAAAGTTATGAAAATAGAGGGAACAAAAAAATTCCAGCAAAATGGAAAGAAAAAAAAAGATTTGATTGTTGATAAACATATGACGTGATCTGACCATAGAGGATTAAGATCGAACTGAAATCGAGTCGAATCGAACTGATTTTTAGACCGTCCCAAAAATCTATCAGGTCACATGATTCTATGCCCGTTTTTTTCTTCCCCACCTTGGAAGCTACTCAGCTGGTATTTTTTAAGGGATGTCCGTGATGAATCAATCCTTTGGAACAATATTTATTATATTCGTTTTGCTATTTATTTTCATTAGGATAAATTAAATCAAAAATAAAATATGTTGTTTAAACCTAATTAATCAAATTCCAAAATAATAATTTATTATAATCTGATGTATTTATTTACTTAGTATCGTTTAGTATCAAAAACTACAAAATGGGTGTCTTCGGATTTAACTTAGCCATTGTAACCCATGATTTATGTTACATCTATAGAATATATGTTGACATATAATTAAGACCAATCTTCCAAACGACTGATATGTAATTTCTTTTTCAAATTATTTATTTCAATCGTTTACGTTTTATGGATAATAATCTCACCGCAAAATTATTGAACGTTTGTAATTTGCAAGAATTATGTGATTACAATATATGCGTCATCTACAAAAGTCCGGGATTCAACTCCAGATTATTTTGGATAAAACCCCGAATGATATTCTAGAGCTGGATAAGAATACATATTTATCCCTGGACCTTAGCTTTCTTTCTTTCAGATAATCTTTTGGGATCAAATCAAATAATATGGATTAATTCCTTAAATTTCACAAAGCTCTCTATAAATCATGAGTTAAACTAAACTCACATAACTGTTTAAGCTAAAATTTTCCTAAAAAGTTTTTCTTTCGCATACTAGTGATGCAAATAGTTTATGATTTCTAGCTTGGCTTTCAGCTAACTGATATTTAGTTTCGGCCAGTTCTTATATTAACTTCTGCTGCAAGAGACGGGACGGGTCGGGTTTGAAACATATTCGAACTCGAAACCGTTAATATTTACAGGACCCGAATTTTGACTCGACTCGATTATTGTTCGACCCGAACCGATTATTGTTTAACTCAGATTCTACTCGAATTTTAAGGGTAATATTAATACCGAAAGTAAAAAAAAAAATTATATGATTATAATGATGAAATTTGAAAATTTATTATTTTTAAAGTTCTTTGATTATACATACATTAATTCAAAATTAAATTTTCATATATATTATTGCCACCACATAACGCATGAATTTATCGGCTTTAAGACCACATCTAAACTATGTATTAAAAAAAAATTAATAATTACCTGAAATTTACCTTATTAAAAATGGATACGAGCAATTAAGACTTCTCAATGGGTTTTTGAATTTTTCTATTCAGCTGGAAGAAGTTTCTCTTCAAAAAGTTCATGCTTTTCGTTTTCAAAAGAAGCTGTATTATCGGAATTAATAGTTTCATTCATTAAATAAATTGTATCACCTGATCATTGGGTCAACGGGTCAACGGGTTTTAAGAAATTAGGTTAGGACGAGATAAAAAATGATAGTCCCGGACTCGGATTTTTTCTCGAGTCGGGTCAAATAATCCGGGCCGATTCAACCGCGGCTCGGAGCACTAGTGTTACGTTTGTTGGATAGAGAAGTATTTTGATGTGATCATTTTTTTGTTATTTTGTTAATTTTGGTGGAAAAAATTGGTTGACATCAATGAGTATGCGATTAAAAGTATTAGGGATGCTTTATCTATTATTAGATGCTATTTATTATATTTTCGTAGATATCTGAGCTTGCATCAAAAATAAATTTAACTATTAATACGAATAGCTTTTTTTTAAAATAAAATTAAAAAGACGAATTATATATTTATATTTGTAGATTGAAATCAGCTTTTAAGGAAGCGTTGATTTTTTTCATAAAGAATTTATTTTTTCTTTTTTTTTTTTTTAAAAAAAAAAAAAAAAAAACTTTTACTATCACAATCTGTCTATCGCTGCTGCGATAAGAAATTATGCAGGCGAAAAACCCAAAATTAAAAAATAATATTATTATAGAAGTGATCCGACCCAATAGAGGGAACTAAAAAAAAAAATGAAATGCCGCAAATTCAAATTCAAGATAAATAAAATATAAAAGAAACATTAACTTTTAACAGGTATAAGATACTTTCGAAAACAAAATTTGGAAAAATTTTTTTTCCATCAATAACACTTCGAAAATAAGCACCCTAAACAAGATCTTGCCCACATCATGTCGATTTGGTCTATTGCTCAAGCAGTTTGAAAAATTCTAAGTTGAGACCGTCCGATCAATATGGATCTGTTCTAATTTAAATTTGGGACAAACACGATATGAGAATCAAGCAACGAAGGAAATTTATTCTTTAGTCAGATTTTATTTTTAAAGTTTACCCTTTATCGGAAATTTTTACCTAAAATAATTACTTATGAAATTTCGGAAATTCCATACGAGTTCAGATGCAAATGTTATTGACTAATTTCAACCACATAGAATTAACGATTGATTCTCGTTATTGGATTCATAAGAATGTGTTTATTTATTACACGTGATAACAATGTGTAACGTATTGAGTTTCCGCACAAAGGCGCAGTAATTTAAAAAAAATTCATTCACTTAAACTTAAAATTATATTTTTATTCTATAATTATTATAAATGTGTGCAAAAAACAATCTTATGAGTTGCTTTTACTATAATAAGTTGACAATACTTTCAATTCAATTCGGAATATGAATGTTTGAAGCTGATTTTAGTTTTATGTATTTATTTTCATTCTTTAAACTGTTAGATGACAATATATGGGATCTTTGCGATAGAAAAGGTGATACTGCCGGGAAAAAACAATTTTACTTTTATATGCCAAATAAAATTTTAGGTTGAAATATGTTCAAATTTAGCACTAACTCATTTTTTTATTTTTTCCGGCATTTTCCCCTTTCTATTGCAAAGGTCCCATATGTACATGTTCATACCTAATCATGATGAATAGTCCATTACTCTAGTTTCGAATTTTTGAAATGTATTCTATATGATTACCTCAAGTTTAGATATAAAAAATTATAATATTCTAAACTTCATTTTCAAAATTATATAGAATTTAGATACCGTACCAGTTTCTAAAATATTATATAATCAGTACAAAGTGAACGCTCTTTGAAAAGCTACAATTTGCCAAGCCTTGTAAAAAAAATATGTGAAACTGGATTCTTCTTCAAATAAACGCGTATAAGGACAATCGTTGCTGAAAATAGGAATAATAGATGCATAATTATTAAATAAAAGCGTTTGTAGCCGCAGTACTACAACCTTCCTTATGATAATACATATTTATAATGATATTTTCACAAAACACTATTGATGTACTAGTAACCCTGTTTTATATCAATTATCTAAAGAAGTCCAAAATTTGCATTATCCTGAGTTAAAAAAAAAATTGTATGGCTTTTTTGTCAGAAATCGAACAATGGAAATCCAACAAACGCAAAAGTAAAATCAGATAATTTATCCTAAGTTTATTATTTATTTTATTTATTTTATTTATTTTTTTATAATTAATTGTATGAGCATAATAAAATAAATATAACCGATATGTGACTTTGATAATTAAACATCATCAAAATAATAATATATTTTTTTCTATTCGTAATATTAATAATAAAATGATAATTATTAAAAATTGAAGGATTATTTTCATTGAAATGACAATTTTGTCGCAAAGAAATTCCATTGGCAAAAAGTTGATAAAAAATCATCAATTTTATGGTTCAACAAAACAAAGACCATGCACACAATTATCCTTTTCACACTCGCAATATAATGCCGATACTACCATGAATAATCATAAGTCTCATTGATTACCGGTATATACTTTTTTAAATAATCATAATTTTATACACCAATTAAACTTATAGGTTGGAACCGGTTATATTTAAATTTACGATTGATTTACAGACTTTCCACCTAATAAAGATCTCGCTTATGAATCTGTGGCTGAGGTGCATGCATCAATAATAGGAAAATAATTTAATTATTTCTTGAAATAATTTTTTTTACTGTCAGTATTTCTCTTAAAATTTATAACAATGGAAAGTGAAAATTGTAAGCTGGACGTTTAGTGTACTATTATATTAAATACATGTGAAATAAAATTCAACTAAAATTTTCATTACAGGTCGTAAGTTATTTTTTATTGTATCACGGACGATAGTGAAAATTATTATTACATTAAATTGATTTTTTATTTAATCTTTATCAAAGTCGATATTACAGATGGTAAGTTATTTATTAATTTTATATCTAGACTTTCAAGTTGTTATAATAATATGATTATATTTATTATTCATTCCTCAACTTCAATTTTTTTTATGTTAATCTAAATAAAATAAATTTCTAAATTTGTTTAACAAATTATTCAATTCAATAGATGGTTAGTTATATTAGAACATTAACTGCATGTTTTACATAATTATGTCAAATTAAATTATTATTTTAATTAATAACAGAAAATAATGTTGCACAATATGATTTAGCTAAACGTTACCAAAATGGATGGGAAATTGAAAAGAATTTAGAAAAGGCATTCAATTGTTATCAAAAATCAGCTGATCAAAATAATAGTGATGCACAACATCAGTTAGGATTTTTTTATGAAAATGGATGGGGAATTGGAAAGGATTTAAAAATGGCATTTTATTGGTATCAAAAATCAGCTGAACAAAATAATAGTGATGCACAATATAATTTAGCAATTTGTTATAAAAATGGTAAGGGTATTGAAAAGGATTTAAAAATTGCATTTTATTGGTATCAAAAATCAGCTGATCAAAATAATATTGATGCACAAAGTCAGTTAGGATTTTTTTATGAAAATGGATGGGGAATTGAAATGGATTTAAAAATGGCATTTTATTGGTATCAAAAATCAGCTGATCAAAATAATAGTGATGCACAAAATCAATTAGGATTTTTTTTTGAAAATGGATGGGGAATTGAAATGGATTTAAAAATGGCATTTTATTGGTATCAAAAATCAGCTGATCAAAATAATGCTACTGCACAAAATAATTTAGCTATATTTTATCAAAAGGGATTGGAAATTGAAAAGAATTTAAAAATGGCATTTTATTGGTATCAAAAATCAGCTAATCAAAATAATAGTTATGCACAATTTAATTTAGCAACTTGTTATGAAAATGGTAAGGGTATTGAAATAGATTTAGAAAAATCATTTAATTGTTATCAAAAATCAGCTAATCAAAATAATAGTGATGCACAACATCATTTAGCAACTTGTTATGAAAATGGATGGGGAATTGAAAAAAACTTAAAAAAAGCATTTTTTTGGTATCAAAAATCAGCTGATCAAAATAATAGTAATGCACAAAGTCAGTTAGGATTTTTTTATGAAAATGGATGGGGAATTGAAATGGATTTAAAAATGGCATTTTATTGGTATCAAAAATCAGCTGATCAAAATGATAGTGATGCACAATTTAATTTAGCAACTTGTTATAAAAATGGTAAAGGTATTAAAATAGATTTAAAAATGGCATTTTATTGGTATCAAAAATTAGCTGATCAAAATGATAGTAATGCACAATATCAGTTAGCTAGATGTTATCAAAAAGGATTTGGAATTGAAAAGGATTTAAAAATGGCATTTTATTGGTATCAAAAATCAGCTGATCAAAATGATAGTGATGTACAATTTAATTTAGCAACTTGTTATGAAAATGGGTGGGGAATTGAAATGGATTTAAAAATGGCATTTTATTGGTATCAAAAATCAGCTGATCAAAATGATAGTGATGCACA